TCACAACTTGTATTTCACTACCACCATCATCATTATTCTCACCATTCTAATTTTATTAGTCATTCAGAATGAATAAAAAATTCCCTATTTTACACCACTCATATATTACTTAATTGCCCAAGGTCAGGGCCATTTCACATCACTCCAGGATCTGAATACCTGCAATCACCTTTTTGATATAATACTAAAAGAGAAACAAATGCCGACAAATGTCTTACTGGCACACTGGAATATCATAATTGCCATAAAGTAACTGTAATTTGAAACCACATTCTGCTGTATTAGCAACAGCACAACTGCTCAAGGTTGCAAGGTAAATAATAGGGATGTAGTAAGGCCAGTATTACTGGTAATTGTCTTTTTACATTTTGCTCACAACCAAAGTCCAATTATATGGAGCAAAAGTTAGAATATCCAGCTACTTTTTATATACTCACTTAATCTTACACTTGACAAGTAAAATTGTCTGGTGTTGGACAGAGAAAAATAACAAAGTATGCCATATTTGATTATCCCATATACTCTCCCTTGGATGGGTAAAATTGGGGGCTATGGAGATTTAATGGCAAGAGGTGGGGGAAACATTTTCTCCAGTAAAATTTATGGGGGCCATTGGAATCATCAACCAGAGTATTGAGGCGATATAAAAGAAAAGAATACCTGACTGTAAAATTAATGTAATCTAACTTTCTTGTCACACAAAGTTAGGTAACGTTGACATTTTCACACTTTTCTATTATTATCGTACTGTTCTGTTAAGTATTTATTGGATGAGTCAGAGACCAATGGATTGGTATGAGGGCAGTTAATTTGTAATTTTTGCATGTATTCATTTATTAACTTTTTACTACTGTCATGGTCAGCCAGTTAAATAAGTATTTTAATGAGGGTACTGCCTAACTATTTTACATGTCAAAGATAACTCCAGTTATGAAAGATTGAATATTTTCTGAGCAAGCTGGAACAGAAAATTTTGATTTTAGTGAACTAAGTGAAGGGTGGAGATATAAACCAAAAAATATATCAGGCATCAAGGAGGGTTTATATCCAAAAGCGAAAGATGGAGGAGTAATTAAACGAAGAAAACTAATTATATAAACAGACAGCCACGAATCTGCTGGAATTTAGGATATATAAACTGATAAATATTAAAATATATGAGAATATAATTTTATATATGCATCATAAAATCCGAAAATCGTTTACCTCGAATATACTGCATTCTTTATAGCATTCAAAATCCATGTGACTTCAAAGTTTATAATTTCCATCAAAATAAAAACAAGCCTAAAATCTGCTGCCTGTTGTTTTAAATATGAATTTTAAAACACTTGTTATACATTCATATTTTAAAAATCAAATGCAAAATCATTTGTATTTGAAACTTTTATAGTTCGTGCATTTACAATGTTCAGTTGTTCATCCCCCCGGCATAACATGACCTTAATAAGGCCAGGTTACAAAAATGTCCAATATTTTTGGACACACGTGACCAGTGTTTACCAGGGCCTTTGCTTCCCGTACCAGAGCCTCTGAACCGCGCAAAGGCCCTGGGTACGAGGTTGTATAAGTCCCTCCAAAACATTCATTGTTTTAAGCCGATTACAGATGAGAAGTTTTCTATGACAAGTTTCTATATGTAATGTTTACAACATGAGCGGCCGTGTTGTATCGGATATACAAACTCGAGCCGAAGGCGAGAGTTTGTATATCCGATACAACACGGACGCGAATGTTGTAAACAACTTAAAAAACGACTCATATTATAAGTTCATTGGCGAAGTAATTTTAAAAATAGACGTTGTCTAAGCCGAGAAAATCAAAGTTAAAGTTTATGTAAATCAACATGAATCTGTATCACATATACAGATACGACACGCTAGCTTATGATTTTTCTTTGTGTTTTCTTCATGAATTATTAATGAGTTTTTTAAGCAAGTTTTATTTGCCACGTCCACGTGTGTATGTGCGACAATTGTCCACGACAAGTTTTTGGTTTACCCATTTTGCAACAATAGATCGCTGACCAACTACATTCAAGTGCTCAGATTACTTTGACAAGTTTTCTTTGTTGACCCATACATGTAGACGAGCAAAATTTGTACTTTGACAATTTCTACTGTGACAAGTAGACTTGTTAGCATGCTAGCTGTACTTGTCAATTAAAACTGTCAAAGTAGTGCTTCAACTTTATTATTTTATTTAAACACGGTACTATTTCACAGTATATTAAAATATATTATTTACAAAAACAACCGGGAAAAAGTGATCTTCCAATAGGCCGTGTGCTAACTACTATAAATATAAAAAAATTTTATAACTTAACAATATATCAATCTACATTGTTTTACCCCACTCTTAAAAGTTGCTATACTTCGTAACGACTTCAGGTCAATTTGTTCCCTTCTTGTTTGCAGATCTGAAAATCCTGCCTTGATTAGAATATCTTTTGATCGCGTTTGATATCCTTCACGGGTAATAATACGAAACGCTCTATTTTGGAGACGCTGAAGTTTATCTGATAAAACCTTTCCTAGGCAACCTCAAACTTGTGAGCAATAATCAAAGTGTGGTTGGATTATTGATTTATAAACAGTTATTAAAGTATTATAATCAACAATATCCCGCAGTCTTCTAATAATAGGGAGCTTTAGATTTGACTACGAGTACGACTACGAGTACGAGATTTAATCACGTGCGAGGAAATTACCGTAGTCGTTCTCGTTTCCATTTAAATGTTGCTTTTGCAGCAGTAAACCAACAACGAGAAAAAAAGTTTCATAAACTAAATCTCCTGCAGACTAAAATCCCCTACAAAACGTGAAAATAAGCCATAACATTAAAACAGGCCAGATATTTAGTACTAACATATTATTTGCACCGGATAAACGCTATATAAATGCTACAAATTATTTTTGGTAAACAAAAAAAGCCAACTTTCTTTTTTTTTTGAAAAGTCGTCGTAAAGACTACGAGATTTCTCCACAATTTCGTACTCAGATGGGCGACGGCTACTACTTTTTCGCGTCAGTACGGGATGGCGTAAGCATACAGCATGCGTTTCGTTTGACAAATCTCGTACTCGTAGTCGTACTCGTAGTTAAATCTAAAGCTCCCTAATACTGAGTCCTGAGTTAACTTTTTTTGTAATTTTGTCAACATGGGCCGACCAGCATAAAATATCATCAATCATTAGGCCAAGCGACCTGGTCGCATTAACCTTTTTAATCTCTGTGCCTCTCACACAAATTGAGGGTTCTTGGACTATTTGGCCAAGTCGCTTATTGCTACCTATAACCATGAACTCTGTATTTTTATTGTTCAAAGTTAATTTATTAGCTGACATCCAAGTCGAAACATTTATTAAATCTGTGTTAAGATTCTCTAAGATCACATTGATATCGCTATTAGATGTTGCAATTTGGGTGTCATCGGCAAACATATCTGGTCTAGTGTGTCTTAAACATTTTGGAAAATCATTAATATAGATCAAAAACAATAATGGGCCTAATCCCGAGCCTTGTGGTATTCCGGTCTTCACGGTTAGGGGATCTGACAGGTGACCATTTATTTGACAATATTGGATTCTGTCTGATAGATATGATTGCAACCAACAGAGTGCCATGTCTTTTATGCCATAAATTTTTAATTTTTTTAGAAGAATGTCGTGGTCAACAGTATCAAAGGCCTTTTTTAAATCTAAAAATACAACTCCATTTAATTGTCCTACGTCCATGTTTTGGTACCATCTATTAGTAATATCTAATAGAGCTGTGGTTGTTGAATGACATGGTCTAAAGCCGTGTTGGGAATTTGTAAGTAGGTTTGAAGCTATAAGATCATATAATTGATTATGTATCAGTTTCTCCATGATCTTCGCTATAATTGAAATAACAGATATCGGTCTGTAATTTTCCATATCGTGC